CCATCCATCCACCCATCCCTCCATCCATCCACCCATCCATCCATCCCTCCATCCCTCCATCCCTCCATCCCTCAGCTGCATTCCAATGGATGCAGAGCTCCTGGTTGGCTCCACAGCTCCAGGAGCACCCCCAGGTGCCCGTGAGGTTGGCACAGCCCCGAGGAGCTCCCTGGGAGCTTCACCTCCGGCTGCTGTGTGGGATGGGGGTGGAAAAGCTCCCTTGGGATGCAGTGCTGGGATCTCAGGTCCCCCAGAAGGAACCCCAGACGTTCCAAATCGCCCTTCAATCTGCATTTGAGCTGCAGTTTCTCTCCTTGCAAAGCCAGAGGCCGTCCCAGTCCTAAAAATATAATTAATGACCAAGTTGCAGCCCCTCTAAAATCCATCATTCCTTGGCAAGGGCAGCGGTGGCCGATTTTTGGACGCCAAGATTTGTGTTAATAAAGCAGGAACGAGGCTCTGCATTAACCTTTCCCATCAATCTTTATTTGGGGAGTCATTAATTAGAGCCATCTGATTTCCCAGGCCACTCCTGCCCGGGCAGGGGAAGGGGCTTGGATGCCGTTTCCCGGTGATGGATTTTGCCAGGATGCTGGAAAAGGAGACTTTTCCCATCCCGAGCATCCAGGGAAAGCCCTGGGGCACCTTATAAACCAAAAGCACATTATATTTATCAGAAATAGTGGCAAATCTACATCCCACCCCCCTTTATTGTGTTAACGAGCCCGTGTTGGATTTTCCCGGGGCGCTGGATCCTCCCCCTTGGCAGTGGTGTTTGATCAGCAGCCGAGGCGTCGGCTCCGAGCTGGGAATGGGATTAATTTGATATTAAATAAGAGCCGAGCGGGGCCTCTGCGGCTCCAGGGGTTGATGGGCCGTGACTGCCGAGCTCCGTGTGCGGGTTTCTTGCTGATCCTCCCGGGAAAAACGAGCTGGAGATGAATATTTAGGAGCTGCCGCGGCCCCGGGAGCGGCTCGGGGACAGCGCGGGGTCAGGCGGGGCCACGAGCAGCAGGAAAAAAACCCCTGTTTGGGGCGGATTTGGGAGTGGTGCTGCCCTGGTGGAGAGGCTGGAAGAGTCAATCCCTCCCGGAATGCCGGGGTCATGCCGGAGTCTGTTTTGCCCCGCGGTTCAGGGCGTTATCCCGGGATTTTTGGTGCAGGGAGAGGTGGCCGTGGGGACAAAACCGGCCCAAATCCTGCTCTGTCCCCATCCGGACCCCTGGGAAGGTGCCTTTGGGAAGGGAAGGAGC